TTTTAGAACCTCGAATTCCATTAATTACTCTACTTACAATATCTTAGCTTGCCAGAGTCCCATTAAATACACGCTTAATAATTTTAAAAAAAAATACGTTACAATAAAATGGTCATTATCATGTGTCACATAAAATAATCATATGTCGTATAAAATTCAGGCTTATTCACCACTTAATAAATAATGATAAAAGATGTATAAGTATATTACTTACACTGTAACCCGTAGATGCACAGGCCGCGGCCCGCGGCTCGCATGCGGCCCGCCGGTCGAATACTGGTGGCCCGCCGACAGCAAAAATAATACTCTCGTACATTCGAAAAATATCGAATTATATTCCAGAATAAAACCAAAAAAAAATATGTTCGAAAAGTAATTTGAATCTCGTGAGCGCGCTCTTATGTGCGCTTATCGGTGCGCCGTGCATGCGTCGGTAACAGCGGTCGGTAATGTTTGTGCTGATCTCGGTTAAATTCGTTTTCTTGAGGAACCGCCGCGGCCGGCGGCGCAGCGACGACGGCAGCGCGGTAGCGGCTTATCCATATAGGGTTATATTGTTAAAGCAAGCGAGATAGCAATAGTCCCGAATTACCGATTGCTCGCGTAGGTAGATACACGAAGCTTCCAGAGTCGGTTTCGTGATTTCGATATAAAAGCCACGCTAACCGCAGCGACCGACACTTCGGTTTTAATTTGAGTGAAGTGTCAATAGTTCTAGTGTAGATTTTAACTCGACTAGCCGGTGTCATATATTTTGATCCACATTCAACGTAGATTTCCCGTCAAGTGCCGTGCGTAATTGTTAAAACTCTGTTATTAATAAGTGTTTCCCTACCAATTTAATCAATTATTTTTGGTAATTTAAAAAAGGATGGGCAATTTAAGTAGTTACTGTAATTGTTTTTAGGTGCTGTGTTAATACTAGCCAGGATTAGAACGCAACATGGACAAGCCAGGACCTAGTAAAAACGTAAGGTTAGAGATGAAAATCGGCAGTTTCAAGAAATTTGGACTGAGAAATACTTTTTTGTATGGTCGCATAACAAAGTCGTTTGTTTAATTTGCAAGAATTCTGTTGCGATTGCAAAGGAATATAATGTAAAAAGGCACTATGAAACGCAACATCCTACTTTTACCAAGTTTACAGGCGAATTAAGAAAGCAAAAAAATGTCTTTAAAACGGGAGCTGACCAATAGTCAGCAAGCTATGTTTACAAAACCCATTCAAGATTCAGAAACAACTACAGAAGTTAGTTATGAAATTTCTCGAATGATAGCAAAACGAAGTCGCCCCTTCAATGATGGGATTTTGTAAAAGAATGCATAGAAATTGCCGCTAAGAAAATGTGTCCAGAAGCAGCAAAAAACTTACTTACTTATCTTCACGCACAGAGAGAGAGATCACACGCAGAGAGAACAGATCGCCAAGTGTCACGATCCTTACATACCTCTTTCGCTTCTTTCAGGTTCATTAACTTCTTCATACATGCACGTCTAGGTATCCGAGTACTCTTGACCCTCCCCTCTTCGAGCAATTTGCTCACATGGTCTTCGAAAGTTAGTCTCGGTCTACCTCGACACCTTTTAATATTTACTCTCGCTCTATATATTTTCTTCACCATTCGGGCTTCACTCATTCGTTCAACGTGCCCAAACCATTGGAGTATGCCCCTATCAATTTTTGTGATAAGGTCATCTTTCAATCCTGCCATATTGCGAATCTCTTCGTTTCGCTTTCGGTCGGCTATGGTAACGCCACACATTTTACGAAGAGATCGCATCTCCACTGCATTCTACTTGCTTTTATGCTTCTTCTGGCATACCCAGGTTTCGCTGCCATATAACAAAGTCGGTACCAACACTGCGTTATGTATTGGAAGGCGTGCACTCTTCACCACGCCTTGCCTTTTGACTAATGCATTCAGGGCACCATTGACTTTGTTTCCGGCAGCGACACGCCTATCCACATCTAAATCACATCTTCCATCCCGGCTGAAAGCACTCCCCAAGTATACAATTTCATTTACCTGTTCTAGACATTCCTGATTTACCCATAGTAGTTACGTTGTACCAGTTCTGGCGCACGACGTTCGTCGACTCACAATCCTAAAAAAAAAAAAAAAAAAAAAAAAAAAAAAAAAGGTTTTGGCATGCTCTGATCACGAATCTGCGGTCCATTTTTGCGTAGGATGCACGGTTCCGGAGATGTGCAGATCAATTAACTCTTATCTAATTGATATCCGCTGCGAGCCTCAACCGTCATTATCTACTTATCTATTGTTGATTGACTACCGTCATTATCTATTATTCGTCCAGCGTGTGGGTCGGCTTATGCTATTGTATTATACTCCTTTGTTCCTATCTACAACACTAATCTGAATCATCAATAAAACACATTACCTAATTTTGTTACAATTTTTATTTATAAAATACAAAATCTTATTACTTATTATCTATAAAATAGGAGCGAAACATCTCATCCACTAACATATCGTTGTACAATGTGTTCTCTGTAAATATACTCGTAAAACTATGCATTGAACATCCCTGAAACTTATATAGCAAATACATTAAGCAATATTCGCCACAAACTGAAGTCCTATCAACATTCCAGTTCCATCTTTTAAACACATTACCTAATTTTGTTAAAATTTTTATTTATAAAATACAAAATCTTATTACTTATTATCTATAAAATAGGAGCTAAACATCTCATCCACTAACATATCGTTGTACAATGTGTTCTCTGTATACTCGTAAAACTATGCATTGAACATCCCTGAAACTTATATAGCAAATACATTAAGCAATATTCGCCACAAACTGAAGTCCTATCAACATTCCAGTTCCATCTTTTAAACACATTACCTAATTTTGTTAAAATTTTTATTTATAAAATACAAAATCTTATTACTTATTATCTATAAAATAGGAGCGAAACATCTCATCCACTATCATATCGTTGTACAATGTGTTCTCTGTAAATATACTCGTAAAACTATGCATTGAACATCCCTGAAACTTATATAGCAAATACATTAAGCAATATTCGCCACAAACTGAAGTCCTATCAACATTCCAGTTCCATCTTTTAAACACATTACCTAATTTTGTTAAAATTTTTATTTATAAAATACAAAATCTTATTACTTATTATCTATAAAATAGGAGCGAAACATCTCATCCACTAACATATCGTTGTACAATGTGTTCTCTGTAAATATACTCGTAAAACTATGCATTGAACATCCCTGAAACTTATATAGCAAATACATTAAGCAATATTCGCCACAAACTGAAGTCCTATCAACATTCCAGTTCCATCTTTTAAACACATTACCTAATTTTGTTAAAATTTTTATTTATAAAATACAAAATCTTATTACTTATTATCTATAAAATAGGAGCGAAACATCTCATCCACTAACATATCGTTGTACAATGTGTTCTCTGTAAATATACTCGTAAAACTATGCATTGAACATCCCTGAAACTTATATAGCAAATACATTAAGCAATATTCGCCACAAACTGAAGTCCTATCAACATTCCAGTTCCATCTTTTAAACACATTACCTAATTTTGTTAAAATTTTTATTTATAAAATACAAAATCTTATTACTTATTATCTATAAAATAGGAGCGAAACATCTCATCCACTATCATATCGTTGTACAATGTGTTCTCTGTAAATATACTCGTAAAACTATGCATTGAACATCCCTGAAACTTATATAGCAAATACATTAAGCAATATTCGCCACAAACTGAAGTCCTATCAACATTCCAGTTCCATCTTTTAAACACATTACCTAATTTTGTTAAAATTTTTATTTATAAAATACAAAATCTTATTACTTATTATCTATAAAATAGGAGCGAAACATCTCATCCACTAACATATCGTTGTACAATGTGTTCTCTGTAAATATACTCGTAAAACTATGCATTGAACATCCCTGAAACTTATATAGCAAATACATTAAGCAATATTCGCCACAAACTGAAGTCCTATCAACATTCCAGTTCCATCTTTTAAACACATTACCTAATTTTGTTAAAATTTTTATTTATAAAATACAAAATCTTATTACTTATTATCTATAAAATAGGAGCGAAACATCTCATCCACTATCATATCGTTGTACAATGTGTTCTCTGTAAATATACTCGTAAAACTATGCATTGAACATCCCTGAAATTTATATAGCAAATACATTAAGCAATATTCGCCACAAACTGAAGTCCTATCAACATTCCAGTTCCATCTTTTACAATTTCGTACAGGTGCCCGTCCATATGAATCAAAATATTCACCGACGTCATTCGTATCGATATATAAAGCTACCCAATGTGACCCTGGTTTATCATCTGTACCCAAATTGCATATTACCTAGTCAGGTCATAAATTCTATCACATGTTTAATGTAAAATAATTGAAACAAGTTTATTCATTATGTAACCATTTATATACCAAAATGAACTTAACAAAACATAGATTCTTATGACACTATAGTTTATTCAAAATGACCTCCGTAATTTTGAATACAGGCCTTCAATCTGCGCGGCCAGTCGTCTATCTCACCACGAACGAGGTCCATGTCATATCGGCGGCTGCCTTAATTAAGATGTCTTGAGTGACTCGAAATTGGGATGAGGCTTTGAGCACGCCTTTTCCTCCAAGTGTTACCATATCTTGTAATCTAACGGATTCAAATCTGGACTGGTCTTTGTGTCGGATGAAGTCGATTTCACGCGCCGCTAGCCAGTCTTTTTTTTTTTTTTTTTTTTTTTTTTAAAGAACGTTACCTCCACACTAGGTTTTTCTCCTGTATCGTGGGGGCAGTTTACAAACACAAATTTCACAAGGACAAACATCCAAACTCGGAACAGGTCGTACGGTGTAGGTCGTACAAATACTTGTTCCGTGCGGGATTCGAACCCGCGACCCCCAAGCGCAGCCACTCATTGCTAAGCCACTACGCCACGGAGCTGTCAAA